AGATTAAGTTCCCAAAGTTTCAGCCCTGTAGCTTTTGTAGGTCTCGAGATGAAAAATCGGTACAGACGCACAGCGCACACACAGTCACAGACATGCACACACAGACAACCCCTCGTCAATATGCGTTTTCTGCATTGCATAGATGCAAAAGAACGCATTAAAAAAATCAGATTTGGGACCTGCTTTACGGCGAACCAAACTTTAAATGGTTTCAAAGGGGTGAAATACGTGTAACAACTTAGGAATTTTTCTCCGTTCTAAACAGATAAAATTGCTCAGTTTATCACTGCTAAATTGTAAAACTTTAAGCTAGAAATGTTCGAGAAGAAGTACTCAGTGTTGCTAACAAAATCGCAACCAGTTATTACTCACATACGCAAGGATATTGCGAGGAAAATGATGTGGAGCGCAAAGTATGCAAATGAAGTTATCGAATTTATGTCGATGCGCTTGCAAGACTGGAGTGGCCTCTCGGTGTCGTGAAATGGCATTTTGAGGCAATGCCGTAACCTCTTTTTGTCAACGAAAGGTAGGTGAAATAATCTAGGAAAAAATAAAAATGACCAAATTTTGAGGGATATTAAAAAAGTTTAGTCATAAAAAATACACCAAGGAAGGGATGCGGTACTATCGAGTGCTTTGTGGTTAGATGATGTGGACACACAGCGGATAATTCCCTCATTCCTTACAAAACATAACTTCACTGCATCACGATGATCTCGTGGCCCAGTGTTGTTTATAAATCGAATTCTTTGCCTGCTCTGTTTCGCAATTATGTCGCCAAGCTTAATTTGGGCCAGAAATCAAACACCGGGTTGATTTCTAAACGCTTTTTAGGCCTTCAATTTGCCCAGTCTGATTAATAAATTTACAATTGTTTAAACTTGTAGCATGCTTTAATCTAGAATTAATTTTGAATTGACTGACAGACTATAGATCAGAGCATAGCGAAGTTTGGGGATTTTACGATTCTAAAATTTTATTCAGTTTTCTGCCGTTAATGATGCATTTGTTGCGCACTTTTCGTTGCTCGAACTTTTCTCTGGGAAGGTCGCTTCTCCGATGACTGTTTTTTTT